GCGCAGCAGGCGGGAGGCCTTCTCCAGCACCGGGTGCCGCAGGGCGGGGCTGCAGTTCACCAACTCCTGGTGTTTGGCTGTGGGTCAAAAGCCAAATCGTACCCCCAGTGAACATCCCAATCCAACCACTAAAATAGGTTCTAAAACGGGTGGTGTGCCTATCCCAAAATGGTACGATTGGTGTTGACTGATAGCCAATTGAAACTTGGAACCCTGACCATCCCATGCTTTGCTCAGAGCGGTAGCGCACAGCAGAGTCTTGAAAGGCTACACGTTCACTTGCCTCAATCAATGGATCGCCGTCTGCTTTGATTGAAGTGGAGGCACTGCACCGAAGAACTTGTGTATGTCGCTTGTCTTGTGCAGAACTCTGACAAGCTTTCGACAGTTTGACCGCGGTGGGACAGGTCGCCGATGGATTTGTAGCTCAGGAATGAACACACTAGACTCAATGTGAAGCAATATTCGTCGATTTCGAGAGAATCACGAAACACCTCGCGTCATCCAGCAAGAGTGCGGACAACTTTGCAGTGCCTTTTCTGCAAGTTCTGGCCAGGTGGGGATGTATCCAAACCGCTGCGTTGTTTGAGTCCTGGTCATTCCACGGCTCTTGCTGAAGACATCCAGAACAGGTGGAGGAACCCAAGTGGGCGGATCTGGGTGGCTGCACCCCACAAACGTGGACTCTGACAAGTACCCAGAAGACAACTTTCTACAGTCAGTCCTGGGCCAAAGCCACCAGTGAAGCAAAGGCTTCAGGGCAGCACGTAGTCCAGCTCTCCACCACGCTGTTCATGACCTACCCCCGCACCCCAAAGCCTACAGAACTTCCCAGATTTGGGGATCTCCACTAAATTACTAAAGCCAAAAGAATGCCCCCAGCATCTGTTTGACATTTCCGGATCTGCCCCCATTCCCCAGACAGCATTGGCACGTGAAGAAAGCGCCTCTTTGCGAGGCTGCCATCAACGGCAAGAGCTCACACGCTTTCTGGACCTAGGGGAGGGCAATATAAATAGATCCCTATGAGACGTCGAATGCATCGGTCTCAAATCCCAAAGTCCGGGCCTGGAGACACGAGTTATGTATCTGAGCTTCAGGCGCCAGGGAGAAACAACATCCAAACCAAAGGGAACGAGCAGCTTTTGGCAATCTGTGTTGGCACATCAATACGTGGGACAAAGGGGGTCGATAAGCAGAGAGTGATTTGTCCGATAGCTTCGCGGCTTTCAGCATTGCTTCAAACCCAACTTGCCATTTTGCCAGGCGAGCCAACACCTTCTCCGGCCTCCAAGTGCTCCTGGTCAACCAGGCACCGGACAAACATGTCGTAGACCGCGTTCAGCGGCACCGCCGCAAAGGCATGGCTGTGCAGGTAGAACAGCTCCTGCTGGAAGCCGCGCCAAAATAAAGCGGGCCGGTACCTGGCCCCCAAAACCCGGAAGAGGTTCCACATGGAGTGCCATGCCATGTTCTCGTTGCTGCAGCCGTTGTGGAGATCTGCGAAGCTCAGGGATAACTTGATCTTGTGCTTCAGCAGCAGCTCCAGGCAGGTGAGATGTTTGTCCAGCTCATCCGCCTACGCGAACCGCGCTCAGCACGAGGCGCACAAAAAAGCGACCCGACACCAAACACAACAGGAAGATAAAAAAAAGAAGAAAAACAAAAAAAAACAGATACACAAACCACCCGTGAGCCCCCAAAACACACAAACCACCCCGCAAAGCACTCCTGACCACAGAAACACCGCAACAGGAACTAAAACACCCTTCTCCATCTCCCCATCCGCCTGCTTTTGAAACTGGGCCCACTTCTCATCGTTGCTTCCAGCCGTGTCCGGCTTTGGAATGCACCCGTACATGATGTCCACGCTCTGCAAGATGTCCGCTGCGTGGCACCGCTGGTCTTCGCTGTACACCGCCCTGAAAATGAAGTCCATCAGCAGCTCAGGGTCCTACCAACCAGCCGGGCAGCTTTTCTTTTCGAAAAAGAAGCAACTCTTTTCAAGCCTGCAGCAGTTTATGGATGCTCCATTCATCAACATGAATAATCATTGCTAGTCACAAGCCTCAAACCCAAAGTCGCATGAAATACGCCAGATGGCGCAGCTTTGAGAAGGGGTTGGAGTCCTTGATGATCCGATCTGGTCTGGGCAGTGCTGGGCTGGAACCCTGCACCACCGCAGCCATCATCTTGAAATGTCCTGCGACACGGCCGAGCCAAGAAGCCGACAGAATGCACAGACGTGAGAATTTATGTAAGGATCTGAGGTTGGGTGCAGTTATGATCATGAAGCTTCGACTTTTCTCTGCGCTCGTTGTCCTCATAGGGGCTAAGAAACAACAAGAGGAATGTGCCAAGAAGCTTTTGGCGGCCTGTGCCACCACAAATCGAGTTGCCTAGATGAAGGTCTAAGTAAAAGGAGGCACACGGGCCACCAAAAATCGGACCGACCCCTGTTGAGACAACAATGCAAAAGGATTGGGACAACAAACGATGTCTTGGTTTGTTGTCTCGCTCATAGCGTACTATGTCGGATCTGTCAGCTACTGCAAAGATCACGGGGCCTTGACCATGCAGTCCCCAACTGAGGACCCGCCTGTTTTCAACAGCAACCAAGCTTTTCATCACAGCTACATTTTCGATGCCTGCGAGCGGAGCCAAGGTTTCAGTTCGTACAAAGCTGAGTGCTTTCCTGTTTCCCCCTTTCAACCTGGTTGTAACTCAAGCTCGAAAGCACCGACTCGACAAAACGAAAGCAGAGAGTTTTGCCTGGCCTGGTTCCCAGCCGGTGCTTCCCAGCCGTCCAAGAAGCGCCTCTGTCAATGTCTCCTGCGTTGCATGGCAGCGCAATACACTTGCAGGTATCGGGAACCCACAAAACGGTGGCCATTTTTATGGTGTCCTTTTTTGAATCAACCCGAAAAGGGCACCCTCAAAACAAACGCGCCTTCTGGGTATGGGAACCAGTAGGTCCACCAGTCTGAAAAGCATGAACATCCACAGAAGTTGGCTCAAGCCTGGTGCCTCCCTTTGCCGCGAAACGTTTCACTGCGAAGTCTTCACTGCTTGGCGAAACAGGTGACACCCAAACGAACAAATCACATCTCATGGCCAGGTTCACCTCTTGACCAACGAGCTGCTTAGACGTGAGAACATACGAGCTCCCTATTCCCATTTGCAAAATCAAGCTACGCATGTCCCAGTTCCAGTCCTCCACCTCTCCGGTGACTGCCAGGCGCTTCCAAGCCTTCACATCCTCCACCACAGTCTCCGCGCTGCTTCTCAGAAGCAGCCGGGCCCGCTCAGGCGCCGTCAAGCCCTGGAAACTGCGCAAGGTAACCAGGGACTGCAGAGGCGGGGGCTCCTCGAGGGGCCACCCAGACTCCAACATCTCCTGACAGATCGGGCCCACCAAGCGAAATGTTCATCCTTGGAACATTGCCACACACCGGAATCGTGGCAATTGAGGCTGACTTGCTCATGCTAACCGCCATGATGCATTTAAAAAACAAAGGCCGAGATAGTCACCAAGGACACAGCATGTTCAATAGTTGACAAGCCGAGCTGATGCTCTCATGGCGAGCCACGGAACCAACAAACCAACAGGCAGCAAACAGGTCCTGGTGGCTGGCCTCCAGGTAGAGTTGGTACTCGCCGCAGAGGCGGAACGTCTCATACAGCGGCGTTTGCGCGGATGTCATGGGTGGCAGCCCAGCTGCCAGTGGCAAAGACCCCTCCTCAGGCAACGGGATGCCTTGCTCTGAGTGGATTCTATACTCCAGCAGCTCCAAGGCAAGTCGGCACAAGCCAGTCCGCTCGACGATGGTGAACGCCCGCTCCACAAACCAGTTTGTGGCATCCGGCACTCTCAACAGTGCTTGAGCTTGGCTACCTTCATCTACAGGAAGAAGCTGCTTGATCGTAGCGATCTCTGCAGTCTCCGGAAGTGCCGAAAGGATCTTTTGCCAGTGGCTTGCAATGATGGGGCCTTCTTGTTGACACAGGGTTTCCAGGGCAGGAATGCATTGCCTGGCAGCCAGTTTGCACGCTAGAGTGCACAAGGCATCCTCCTCCATATCTCTAAACTCTGTCCAGCGAATTCCGTCCAGGCTCCGTAACACTTGCAAGCGGCGCAGCTGACATCGCAGGCGAGAAACATTCGGCCCAGTCTCTTTGGCTGCTCCATCCAAATCCAAATCCAGCTCACCCCAGCCATCAGCCTCATCAGCCTCGGGCTCACCACCCCCAGAAATCTCCAGCGCTCTCTTCAGCAAGCGATCCAGCATGGCGCAACCAAGGGCTGTCCCCTTGTCGCCACATAGCGCCAGGTGAGGGAAAGGGTCGAAGTCCAGCACGGCTACGACGAAGTCCTCTGCTTTGCCATTGCTCAGCTCCAGTAGGCTCCGGTAAAGACCCAAGGGGCCCAGCGAGTCAGCGGTCATCTCCAGGGCCCAGCCGCCTTACAACTGGCACAATCCATGGCAGCTTGGAACACTTTGAACAAAAAATCAATTGCAGACTGCACGACTGCTAGTTGCTGGCTGAACTTTAAGTGGGTTCTGCGACATCTCGCAACAGCTCAGGTGTGGGAGCACGTCTCGTCAAGGTTTTGTTTCATCTCATGCAGATTCACTGCTTGGGCTTGGCAGCATGGTGCGAAGCTGGAGCCAAGTGCAGGGCAAACAGAATCTGTACCACAAGCCAAAATTTGCAGCAAGCGCCATTGTGCTGTGTGAGAAGGCATCAAGGGGATCTAGCATCAGTTGCTTCTGAGGCTGTTGGTGATTGACGTGTTTGCAATCTCGCCAATTCTCAGTCGTGTGGATACAGCGAATATGGTTTAGACACAGCAGCAGGGTGAACACCTCCGCACAGAAAGCATATGTCCAACAGCTTCAACTGGTTGTCAGCAAGCAATGGATTCTCTAATGATGCCCTCAGCATGTACTAGGACTGCTGTTGTTGGCGAATGCGGCTTCATCCCGATTCATGCTGGCCTTCTTCGTCTTCACCAGTCGCTATTGGGATGCAGCGGCCATCATGCGCCAGGAAACCTTTGCAGATGCGTGGATTGTGCATTTTGAAGTAGCTCTAGACAGCATTTTTTCTTTGTACATATATATATATATATAGACACACGTGTCACATTCTGCGAACACACACACACACACTCGCGCAAAGAGCTGCATGTTTGAAACATCCTCTGATTCAAGCGAGGGTTGCGAACGGGTGCTATCGGCCGAGACACCTGTTGCCAACGGGTTGGCACCCACCTGGCACCGTGAAACAACTAATGCCCTCAGACTTTAAGCCATCCATCACAAGCAAAGAAGATGCAGTACTTCCAAGTTTGTACAATGTCCTACTTAAGCGCGGAACTCAAAGCCAGGCGAGCGCTCGAAAGGCCGTACATTTCATTGGGAATCCTCTAAAATAGCAGCCAACTCGGTGAATTTGGAGTGCCCAAAGACGGAGCCTGACATTATACACCTGAACATTGCCTTGTAAATGGTGGTGTCCCTTTATTTTGGTGGAAAAAACCACATGTTTCAAGTGGTTGCAACATGAATTTATTTTGCCAAAGACGGAGCTTTTGAACAACATCTGCAGCCTTTGCTCCAAGTGCTATACATCTCGCGCCTGGCGGCAGAGCGCCGGGCCCCAAGCCCCGCCCTCCACACGTAAGCGCTGGGGGGCAACCTCGAGCAGGTGGATCAGAAGGGGTGATCAACGAAAGATGGGGGGGTGATCAAAAGCTCCTTTACATGGGATGACCATCAGAAAAAACAAAAAAAAAAGATGATACTGCCACCAAGTGGAAAAATGTCCCATGTCTTTAGCAGGAATATTGATCAACCCCCCACATCAATACAGAACATGCATGTAGTATGTGTTAGCCTTGACACAAAAGGGAGAACGAGCAGGGTCTCAGCATTGGATTGAAGATTGACGATTGAAGATTCCACGGACAACTCTTCGGATATTCTTCAATCCCTGCCAGCCCCCAAAGCCCCCGACAAACTTCAGTTTGTTTGGACAAACGCTGAAGTCTTGTTTGTGTGGATCCAAGATCCAAGATTCCCCTACCCACGTACCGCGGAAAACCCGGCATTTCACACAAAACAAACAAGTCTGTGGACGCCCCAACAAAAATCTGACCGAATCAGGACCATTTTCCGGGCACCAGCCAGGGTCCTCAGCCTGACGAATGGCACAGAAGGGCCCCGCTGGGGTCCGCCGGTGCCGGGCCTCCACGCCCCAGTTTGCCACTGCAGGCAGTGGGCGCTCTCCTTGGGCTGAAAGGCGGCCACCTGGAGCGCTCATATGGACAAACCACCAAGGTGGGTTTCTTCGGGGCCCCTCAAAAGGCCAGACGAGTTCCCAATGAATTGGGCACCCTTTGGTGGATTTACATGGGGATGTGTCCATTTGCTGCGGGGTTTCCCAATCAAAATGACACGGCTGTAGCTACAGGCTGCGGGTGTCTCAAAATAAGCACCCTCCCCCTCATGCATGGTCTTAACGGGAAACAAAGGGGACACCAAACTTGAAGAGGCCTATGAAGACCAGCCACCCCAGACCAACCGGCTAAGGGTCTATAAATCTGGTGTCAATACTCAGTGTCAAAACTAGGCACCTGTTTTGGAATGTGTTGCAAAGGACACCCAGGGGGGACTAAGCAGCAGGAGGGTTCCCCAGTTTTGACTCAAAGCCTGGATGAAATTCGCCTACAGGACAAGGCGGGGATGCTTTAAGGGCTACATCATTGAAGCCCACTCTCCAAACGAGCAACAAGGGGAACCCGGCTTTCCATCACCAAGCGGAGGACACGGAAGGCACATAAAAGGATACATATGGGTTTGTATTTTTTTACGGGGGCCGGGCAGGAAGGTTTGAGTACGGGGTATGATTCGCAGGTATGATTCGCGGGTATGATTCGGGGTATGATTCGGGGGTATGATTCGCGGAAGCAGCAACTAGTAGTAATATTGTATTAGTAACAATAGTAGTAGTAGTAGTAGTAGTAGTAGTAGTAGTAGTAGTAGTAGTAGTAGTAGTAGTAGTAGTAGTAGTAATGGTAGTAGTAGTAGTAGTAGTAGTAGTAGTAGTAGTAGTAGTAGTAGTAGTAGTAGTAGTAGTAGTAGTAGTAGTAGTTTGTAGTAGTTTGTAGTGGTGGTAGTAGTAGCAGTAGTCGTCGAAGTAGTAGTACTAGTAGTAATATTGTAGTAGTAACAATAGTAGTAGTAGTGGTAGTACTAGTGGTAGTAGTAGTAGTAGTAGTAGTAGTAGTAGTAGTAGTAGTACTAGTACTAGTACTAGTACTAGTACTAGTAGCAGTAGTAGTCGTAGTAGAAAATAGTAGTAGCAGTAGTCGTAGTAGTGGTAGTAGTAGTACTAGTAGTAGCAGTAGTCGTAGTAGTAGTAGTACTAGTAGTAGTCAAAGGAAGTTTAGAAGGAACCTCCGTGTTACGGCAACTAATTGAAAGTTAGCTCTCCCTGAAACAGATGAAAAGAGAAGGAATAAGCGCGCGAGAAAAGATGCGCGGGCGTGTGGTGGGAGAATAGAAGTGCGCCAAAAGCGTAGCCCTGTGCGTGAATTTGCATGTCCGGAGAACTGAAAGCTAGCCTGTTCGCGGCGCCTGGTCGGACCATTGTCGGACCATTGTCAGACCATTCTCGAATCACGTTCGCAGCGCGGGCCCATTGGCACGGCAACGCGAAGGTTTCGCAAGGTTTGAATTCCGTGGCAGGCGCAATACTTTTGCAAGGTGAGGTACAGATTTCGTGGCAGGCGCAGCACTTTCGCAAGGTCAAGTTTCCCCAAGGATTGAACTGCGTGGCAGGTGCAGCACGTTCGCAAGGTCAAGTGCAGATTTCGTGGCAAGGGCAGCACTTTCGCAAGGTCAAGTACAGATGTCGTGGCAGGCGCAGCACTTTCGCAAGTCTAGGTACGCATAGAGAGATAGATAGATAGATAG